CAGATATATCAGGTTATAAGGATACACCTGTTATCGATGGGTAGACGATGCTAACCCCAGATTGAAATAAGTGATGAGGAATTAAGAAATCTGAAACACAACAATGATGAGACACGTAAAGATGATGGTAAGTAAGAATATAATATAGTGATATAATTATTTGAGAGCATGACTAGACCATTAGGCAACACACCCATCTATGAAAAGCTTACCCACTTTAGCAGTGTTAATAATACACCCCCATAAGACAGAGTATTTCTCTGCCTTATTACTAAATTTATATGCATTACAGTAACACGTAAAATAGTATGAAGCTGTGGAACATTGTCAAATCAATTGACAATGTTTGCTAGCTAAATGTAAGCAACCTAACAATTGGGCGACTGTTTCGTAAAATTGGGGCTGACCCTATTCACCAGTGTATACTGGTTTAACTCACTTCAGAGAACTGAATCAATTGAGAATACTCCAATTCTGGATGGCAATTTGTATAATCAGAATTCATTGGTTTTAGGCAAGATATTTTATCTAAATCTCCACATACACTCCAGTCACTTTTCACCAAAAATTTAGTTTAGCACACAGACACACTAGCTGGTGGTATCTGACCACTGACTTCGGCTGTTTTGAAGGACAAGATTAAAATAGCGTTTCTTGCATATTATTTTGTTTATTAGGTATATCACACAGTCAATTTACAGTATTATTTACTAGATGACGAAGTTTCGAACACAGTTTATTGTTCATAATCACACGACTTCGAAACTTGAGTTTTATAGTTTTCTTTCCTATTTATCGTTGTAGAATTTTCCAAATGTCTCGATAGACAGGCGTTGAATGATTCCTACTACATGTATTCACAGTTGATTCAATGATGAATAAAGCTTCCGTTATCAATCTCTCCTTCAACTAAACTAAATCAGTCGGATTTAAAAACTATCATATTATCCGATTGTATGCTTGTGTGTAATTGCATGTAGTGAATGGTATAGCTGAACTATTCTCCAGATTTCTTATCTTATTCGGGTCAACCAATCTAGATTTTACTGCTAGGGTTTTTTGCTCGGCTAGTCTGACTGCTATCGTTCTACTACTTCGACGTATGTGCTTGACCTGATAATCATCGCAGACAGGATATTGGATAAACTTAATTGTTTTGTTTTATAGGCTCTACTGGCAGGATCCTTTAACCGACAAAGATTGTTTCTAATTGACTTTGTGGGTGGTTTGAATGCCAGGCAATTATATTCCTGCCTGCATTGTTAAGAATTCTCCTTAAGGTTTTTTTCTTTGTATGGAAGTACTACTGGTGATTTAGATTTCTTATTGTTGCTGTTGTCATTATATTGTGAATGTTTGCCATGCACGCTGTCATTATTATTATCATAACTATTACTAGCTTTATTTTCACATTTTCCTGATTGAATTTTCAGAGTAGTCATTAAGTTTCAAAGCTTCTCTTATATGCCTCACTTCCTATCATAGATTTTCCTTGGTACTACTTAAATATTTCACTAACCCAATTTTTACTGATATAGGATAGGATGATCGGAAATCCAAATATCGGTTTGAATGTGTGGGTTTCCTGTAAACACACTAGTATGTTTGTTTAACTTCCCTTCTTTTTCCATTTTTACGCTACAATCTAACATTGGAAACTCCCCTTCTTGACTTTTCAATTCATAAGTGAATTGATGAATTGCCTTCACCTTTCAGTTAATGTGTTCGAAAAATCTATTTGTATGGTTATGAACAACAATAAATTATTGAATTGAATTTTTGATTTTCCCGTCGATTGTTTGGACCGAAGTGCTCGGTCTCAGGTTGACATGTCGGCTTCTTGTGCAGATGCTTCGACGATGTCTGGGCATTTACTTAGTATACAATTGGTGGACGGTGGCTAGCAGTGGAATCCAGGATGCGCATTTCGTCTGTCTATTTGGGACTCGTCAGCTGGATGTACCTGCATTTCTCAGTGAGTGATGATGTTCCCACCGAGGCTCGAACCCAGTACCCATAGTTTCAAACGCCAAAGCGTTGTCCACTAGACCACTTGGGCCACGAGAGCCGACATGTTAACCTGAGACCGAGCACTTCGGTCCAAACAATCGACGGGAAAATCAAAAATTCAATTCAATAATTAATATGACCCGTTGCACAAGAGGTGGCTCTCGTGGCCCAAGTGGTCTAGTGGATAACGCTTTGGCGTTTGAAACTATGGGTACTGGGTTCGAGCTTCGGTGGGAACGTCATCACTCACTGAGAAATGCAGGTACATCCAGCTGACGAGTCCCAAATAGGACGAAATGCGCATCCTGGATTCCACTGCTAGCCACCATCCACCAATTGTATACTAAACAATAAATTATATTTTAAATGTCATTTAGTAAATAATGCTGTTTCATTCTGTGTGTGAGATATCTGATAAACAAACTAAAAGGGAATATAACTTACTACCACAGTGTCCGAGGTTTACACATCATATGAATAGCGTTTCTTAGTTTCAAGAGGTTTTCATTCCTTTACGTTCTGAATAGAATAAAAAGCGCTTCAAGCTTCGAAGTCTCGGTCGTGTTAGTAGTATTCTTGTTTTATCTATAGGATGGGCTGACTACTCCCATGTCTACGTCTTCTTCTGTTTCAGTGTTACTGCTAAGTAGACATGGTTTGAGAGTATTTCAACCGGGAATCAAACCCGTACCGTTTGTTTGACTTGGATGGAGAGTATTCTACCAACACACGATTTCAAGCGTTATCACATATGTCAGGAAAAAAAAATCACAATAATTGACAACAATACCTACGATTTCAATGTATCCCATGGAATTAAATTGAATGAAAATACTGACAATGATCCCACTTTTGTTTGTTTGAATATATATATATATATATACATCCCTGGTGAGTGATGTAATCCCCGCGAAGGGGAGTTGAACCCGTCTACCCTTGTGTGAAACACCGCTTGGGTCATGAGGACTGTTTCAAACCGGAAAACAAATAGTATCATCATGGCTAACACAATAAAAACGTGACTCCCAACTCAAGTTACCTGCATCCGAGGTAACTGAGTGGTGGTATTTTAGTCAGTACTCGTAATGCACCAAAAACTGACACCCCACACCAATCTACACAGAATCGCTCTTCTCGTCCCCTCCCCCCCCGCCTTTGAACTGTTGAAGCATAGAATAAACGCAACAGATAAACACAAAAACTCCAAAGATGTTGGTAGAACTTTTTTCTTTTTCTTTATTGAATATATATGTAAATTTATGAAATAACTATACACACCCACCCAAGCACACTCATACAGACATCAAAAGTAATTCATAAACAATGAAGTATGATGATTAATTAGTCTGTCAAAAATGCCATGACAAGAAGAAGGAGAAGCAAAGACAGAATATAGAAGAAAGGTTTTTGTTTTCTAAACAGACCCTTTCTGTCCCCATCCCATTCTCCGCTTCCATCCACCGCGATTAGGCCAAGAAACGCACATACACACACACACACAGGACTACAGCGCACATATCTAACAATATTGCATAATATCAAGTGATGAAAATATCCCATTTATGTCAGACCATCCAGTCGAGTCAGACGTGACTGCGAAGCAAGCGACCAGGTGGACACACACACACACACAGAGTCATCCAAGGGTGACATGGAGGAGATGACAGCTAGTGTGTTAGCAATCGTGGGGTCAGGCGGAACTAGGAGAACTGTGTAGAGAATAGGACGACAAAGAGATAGATGTTCAGATGACGCCCTCCCTCCTTATGTTCCATTCGGAACTCATGATAATAATAATAATAATAGTAATAAATATTATTCATTATTCAATATAATAGAATAAAAAGGCATATTTAAAACAATACAATATAAGTAAAAATTAAAACAGAGAAAGAATTCAGGAAAAAACCATAGAGAAAAAAACCAATTACAGTATGGTAACTATGGTAAAATTATATATAATACAATTACAATTATACATATATATATGTGAATATGAGGCGGGTGGGTGGGAAAAGGCGCAATGAAAACGATGTGAAGCAGTAATTAATTAATTAATTATACTACTGTCTTGTTGTACGGTTAACCACCACCGGAAGTGCACACAGAGACTCATTCACCCTCAGAGGGACACACACAGACACGTACACGTGCACAATATAATTACACAAAGTTACCACCTAACACATCCACTTCCCGCAAAACCCAAAAGGACTAAAAAATATGTATATGTATACTAACACAATGACAAAAAGAAAACATATCAAAATGACGGCGGCACACAGCGGGTCCATTCATCAGGCATGAATAATGCTATGAAATTAATGTGACAGAATGCTATATTAAAGCTCAATATTAATCAAGGGTAGTTTCAAGGGTCAGATGTATTACATCATTACCGTATTTGACCGGGGTAATTACGCAATAAAAAAAAAAAAGAAAAAATACGGCGCAGAAGAGTGAAGAATACCACGTTAAAGGGTAAAAATGGCGCTTTGGTAGTCTCCTCCACTGACTCTCTGTTTGCCTGTCTGTCGAATGGCGCTTAAGTGTACCTTTAGGCAACATCTCAACGATAAAAATAACAATAATAATAATAATTGTAAAGTTTAAATATTACTAGAGTTATTTATAAGTACCACCTATCTATCTACCTACTATGATGATAATAATGACAATGAAAGGAGCCAATGAAATTACATAGAAATTAATACATGCTGACTAAATAAACTATAATAACTATATTATGTATAAACTAAAGGATAGTAAGCGCACAACTTGAAAAACAGAGAAATATTTGTGTGTGTGTGTGTGTGGAAAACATGATGAAATAAGAGAAGAGATTACTTGACACTCGGCGTCGTCTTTTGTCTGCCCGTTACTCCCCCTCCCACCCCTCGCACTTATCATTGTCATTATTAATAATTCCCTGCAATGAATGGATTATTGTGCTCAACTCTGATTCATATTCAATAGGGGTTTTTTGTTGTTTAAAAATGCCTAGTTACTGATAATGACGACGACGACGAGGCGGCGGCGGCAGATGGTAATCCTGCCCCACCGGATGATGTAATAGCAGCACTCAGTGGATGATGATGATGCGGCAAAACACTGGGGTTAGTACCGCTATTATTAACAGTACTACTATTGTTGTTCAGGATACTTTGCATTAATTCCATAAAATAAGCAGTAGGATTATTATTATTATTGTTATGATTAGGGTGACTAAGATGACCACCACCACCGAACATCGCCTGTCTAAAGACATCTGCATTACTACTACCACCACCACCACTGTTGCTGTTCATAAGTGTTTGTAAAAATGTTGACCAATTATTCATAAAGACAGTTGGATCCATTTTCGCCATTACACTACAGTCTGTTGTTGAAGACGACAATGATGACTGTGGCTGTTGAGGAACTGGTAAAGTTGGCGGCAATGGGGTTTGTTGTAAAGAAGAAGACATCGATTGGAGAAATGGATTTCGCAGTAATTCTGTTTGAGATGACTCATTATTATTATTATTGTTATTTCCAGGATTAGTACTCGGAGTATTGCTGGTAGAAGAAGTAGTAGTATTGGTACTTCTATGAATGCTGCTTCCAGAGTTACTATTACTGTTCATATTACTACCGGCTGAGGAACTGAATAAAGAGGCTAAAACATTCGGTGGTGGGATACATCCCGGTGGAAATAACGATGCCGATGATGAAAATAAGGATGACGATGATGAAGGGAACAATAAATCAGTTTTTGTAAATGCATTCTGTTGCTGCTGTTGTTGTACTACTGAAGAAGGTGTCCCACTACTCGATAATAATTTATTCTCAAACATTGATGATATATTCCAATTACACGTGGAATTTGATGCCTTGGGCACAATAGACTGAATACTATGCGGATGGCCTTGAGGATGAGATGGAGTAATCGAAGCACTAGCAGTAGTAGTCGGAGGTGTTGTGGGCGTATTAGAGTTCATCGATACTGAGGATGAAAGAGGATTCAGCGGCATACTACTACTTGCTGCACCACCACTTGGGATTACACACGAAGAGGTTGGTGAATTCACATCAATCAAGCATATACGTAAATGTCTTTCAGGCCAACGAAATACCAACGGGAGACGTAACTCCTCCGGATATAATAAACATGAAAATTGAAATTCCAGTTGTTCCAAAAAATCATCTGTGAGGAGAATCTTTTACAAGGGAAAAGAAAAATAATTTTAAAAAAAACACATTAATGGTGATATTAAAGACGGTCTAGTTCTTCTGTGGTGAGAGCTGGTTGCTAGCCAAAGTTGATAGACATTAATTTACGTCAATGTTTATCTCCCAATATTGCTCATGAGAAAAATGAGAACAAAGGCTTTGCGTAGGCGGATTCCGTTTAACATATAGATGATCTGACAATCAAGAAACAGCCACAAAGAGATGAAAGGCTAACTTTCAGTGAGAAACAACCACCAATCAGAAGACTGTGGTGTTTTTCTGCAAACATTATAATCTATAATAATGTACATGAAAATCTATAAACATGTGTTGATTTCCCTAATTTTTTTATTTTTATTTTTGATTACAGCTTGATTTCACACCGTATTTTTGGTACAAGTATGGAATTTTCACTATGTGATATCAGTAGGCCAAATTTTACAGGCCGACCATTGATACCAGATGAGCGTCGGCAGGGGATTGAACCTCGGACCATATGCATGGTCGGCGAGAGTCCTAACCACTGTGCCACCGACGCACGATCTGTTGCCTGGCCCTTGTCTTCTGTTGTTACACTTCTATTACGAAACATAATTGTAATAAGAGCTTTATTCCGTACAAAGTGTTTTCGGGAAGATGCAGAACTCTCAACCTACATCATGTGACGCAATGCTTGTCCGGTCTGTCTGTCTGTCCGCTTGGAAGTGTGTGTGGGTGGTTGTTACTTCCCGGTTGCCCCCCCATACTGTGGAAGTTGATTGATTCTTCAGGTACCTGACACAGAACGAGCGTGACCGCAGAGCCTAGGGGACAACTGCTTGAGACCAATCACACACGGCTTGTAAGAACAGGTTTCTTGATTTGGTTCCGTATTACTAAACTTAACACCGGCCTAGAGATCCTAGGGTATTCCTTTCTTCCGTCACAGACCAAATGCGAAGTAGTAGGTAGTAAAGAGGGGGGGGCAATTATATTGGCACATCATATCTTTTTGACGAAGTAGTGTAACATTTGCTTTATCCGATGGGGATTAGTGGAGTTTCAATATAAATATAGTATTATTGATATAAGTATAAAACTTGGGCACTGTGCTAGAGTATAACTCCATTATGGATACGATTTTTATAAATCACAGTGTGTACAGTAATATTAACTGATGACGTTTCGAGCACAAACTATTGCTCAACTTGATATGATTATGATCAATAGTTTGTGCTCGAAACGTCATCAGTTAATATTACTGTACCACACTGTGATTTATCAAAATAAAATCTTATCCATAATGGAGTTATAAATATAGTAGTAATAATCCAATTATCCACAATTGTGTGCAGACAACGCACCGTCTGACGCATAATCCAGTCCACCACGATCAAGAATATCATTTGTGGGGATAATAGGCAGCAAGCCTCGTCTTACTCCTCTGTTCACTTCGAACGCCTCACTGAGTTTTCTGTTGCGAATCACCTGACACGTGGCATCGTCATAAAGATAAAGATTTGGGTCACTGCCCGCCGTAGTGTTGATGAAGTTTCCAAATTACTTGTCTTCCGTCACAACACTATCTGTTAAAGGCCTTTTCGAAGTCGATGAAGTGAAGGCACAGGTTTTGACTACCATTCTTTGCAATTTCATCAGCAAATGATTTGCCTTTCCTGAATCCAACTTATAGTGGGGCTAGTGTAGTTCTTCATCCAGTGCATCTTTTATTCTCTCCAGGATGAAGCGACTTAGTGTTTTGCTAGGCACGGACAACAGCATGATTCCATGCCAGTTCTTGCAGAGGCAGGCGTAAGTCGCCTTTCTTTGCCAGCTTGACGAGGTAGTCTTTCTTCTAATCGGTAGGTAATTTTCCTTCCTTTCAAATCTTTTGCAATAATGGTGTAAGCATATCTACCGTCGTCTCTGGGTACGTTTTCAGTGGTTTTATGTTACTATTATGTTGTATATTTCTGACTGTGTTTTCAATCTACTCCAAAAGCCCAGTTTATCCTTTCAAGCTTCCCCCATCCCACACCCCCACCCCAATTAATCAATTATTTATACAATAATCAAACACCCATAGGTCCTGCTGGCACTTCTGAAGCAAATCCAAAAAGAAAGGGCACAATTTCAACTTGGTTATATACATATATACCACCTTTAACTGGAACTGGTTGTCAAAGATCATGGCGCCGTGGTGGCTCCAAGACGGAGAGAGAGAGAGTTACAGTCATCTCGGTTGTGTAATACGAATTACAAAAGAGAGGCTGTTATACCGTACACGCACAACTTCATTAATTAACATCATCAAAATCTACACACACTTTTAAAGATAGAGGTGATTTCAATCAATAGTATCACACACACACACACACGAGCACACACACCTTCTCTCACTCTCTCTCTCTTTCTATCTTCGTTTTCAAAATGGCTAATCTAGAAACTTCAGCTTTTCAGGGTGTGAGAATTTATTATTCTACTTTATAAATGCTGGTTTCATCACAACACAAACAAAAATATTGGGTACGCTATGAAATATTTATAAATTATTATTTTTTTTAAATCTAGAAAACATCTTCATTATAATAGAGGTTTTTTTTGTATTTCCCAATGAATGAAAAAACAAAACGAGATTGTTTTTACTGACGTTTCGCTATTTAATGCTAATAGCTTTCTCAAAGTATTATTCAACCGGAATTTACAAATCTCAGCATATATATAACAAAGAATTAGGGGGTGAGAAAAATATAGACTTAGTTCAACTTAAAAGGACAAATTGAAAGTCAAAATAACAATGAAGATCGTTCAAACCAAATATCAAAGGTAATAGTATATCTGTTATTATATCAAAATAAAGTTTACTAACTTGATCATCGTTCGTTACTCTGGGGTCATTTTGGTTGTCAAGTTCGAGAATAGGTAAAGGTAACCAAACTAAGTGTAGAATGTGAAATACTTCAAGCAGTTGTCCCCATATGGTCTTAAGTCACGCAACACTAGTTCTCTTTCTGTTTCAGGTACCCCAAGAAAAAACCAACTCCCATGGTTTGAGTGGCCCGAGGGTGATAAGCAGCCCCCCCAAAAAAAAACACTTGCAAAAGCTCGCGAAGGTCTCCTTCAATCAGCCATTATTATTATTATTTGAAGAATGAAAATCAGGTAAACATACCGAACTCAGTTTTTCGCCTGGGATGCTTGAAAGGATTTTCTTTGGTGTCACTCATTTAGTGTCTTCACAGTTCATACAAATATACAGAGTTATGCAACAACTGCAGTAGTACAGTCGACCAAAGAACAAAAATATCAAAAATGACTGAAAAGGTTGTCGAAATCAGTGTAATCCCACTCGTCAAGCAAGGATCTAAAACAGAGAGCAAAGCGCACGTTAGCAGTGTGAGTGGCAGTGTGATCACACTGCTAACGTGCGCTTTGCTCTCTGTTTTAGATCCTTGCTTGACGAGTGGGATTACACTGATTTCGACAACCTTTTCAGTCATTTTTGATATTTTTGTTCTTTGGTCGACTGTACTACTGCAGTTGTTGCATAACTCTGTATATTTGTATGAACTGTGAAGACACTAAATGAGTGACACCAAAGAAAATCCTTTCAAGCATCCCAGGCGAAAAACTGAGTTCGGTATGTTTACCTGATTTTCATTCTTCAAATAATAATAATAATGGCTGATTGAAGGAGACCTTCGCGAGCTTTTGCAAGTGTTTTTTTTGGGGGGGGGGCTGCTTATCACCCTCGGGCCACTCAAACCATGGGAGTTGGTTTTTTCTTGGGGTACCTGAAACAGAAAGAGAACTAGTGTTGCGTGACTTAAGACCATATGGGGACAACTGCTTGAAGTATTTCACATTCTACACTTAGTTTGGTTACCTTTACCTATTCTCGAACTTGACAACCAAAATGACCCCAGAGTAACGAACGATGATCAAGTTAGTAAACTTTATTTTGATATAATAACAGATATACTATTACCTTTGATATTTGGTTTGAACGATCTTCATTGTTATTTTGACTTTCAATTTGTCCTTTTAAGTTGAACTAAGTCTATATTTTTCTCACCCCTAATTCTTTGTTATATATATGCTGAGATTTGTAAATTCCGGTTGAATAATACTTTGAGAAAGCTATTAGCATTAAATAGCGAAACGTCAGTAAAAACAATCTCGTTTTGTTTTTTCATTCATTGGGAAATACAAAAAAAACCTCTATTATAATGAAGATGTTTTCTAGATTTAAAAAAAATAATAATTTATAAATATTTCATAGCGTACCCAATATTTTTGTTTGTGTTGTGATGAAACCAGCATTTATAAAGTAGAATAATAAATTCTCACACCCTGAAAAGCTGAAGTTTCTAGATTAGCCATTTTGAAAACGAAGATAGAAAGAGAGAGAGTGAGAGAAGGTGTGTGTGCTCGTGTGTGTGTGTGTGTGTGTGTGTGATACTATTGATTGAAATCACCTCTATCTTTAAAAGTGTGTGTAGATTTTGATGATGTTAATTAATGAAGTTGTGCGTGTACGGTATAACAGCCTCTCTTTTGTAATTCGTATTACACAACCGAGATGACTGTAACTCTCTCTCTCTCCGTCTTGGAGCCACCACGGCGCCATGATCTTTGACAACCAGTTCCAGTTAAAGGTGGTATATATGTATATAACCAAGTTGAAATTGTGCCCTTTCTTTTTGGATTTGCTTCAGAAGTGCCAGCAGGACCTATGGGTGTTTGATTATTGTATAAATAATTGATTAATTGGGGTGGGGGTGTGGGATGGGGGAAGCTTGAAAGGATAAACTGGGCTTTTGGAGTAGATTGAAAAACACAGTCAGAAATATACAACATAATAGTAACATAAAACCACTGAAAACGTACCCAGAGACGACGGTAGATATGCTTACACCATTATTGCAAAAGATTTGAAAGGAAGGAAAATTACCTACCGATTAGAAGAAAGACTACCTCGTCAAGCTGGCAAAGAAAGGCGACTTACGCCTGCCTCTGCAAGAACTGGCATGGAATCATGCTGTTGTCCGTGCCTAGCAAAACACTAAGTGGCTTCATCCTGGAGAGAATAAAAGATGCACTGGATGAAGAACTACGCTAGCCCCACTATAAGCTGGATTCAGGAAAGGCAAATCATTAGCTGATGAAATTGCAAAGAATGGTAGTCAAAACCTGTGCCTTCACTTCATCGACTTCGAAAAGGCGTTTAACAGATAGTGTTGTGACGGACAAGTAATTTGGAAACTTCATCAACACTACGGCGGGCAGTGACCCAAATCTTTATCTTTATGACGATGCCACGTGTCAGGTGATTCGCGACAGAAAACTCAGTGAGGCGTTCGAAGTGAACAGAGGAGTAAGACGAGGCTTGCTGCCTATTATCCCCACAAATGATATTCTTGATCGTGGTGGACTGGATTATGCGTCAGACGGTGCGTTGTCTGTACACAATTGTGGATAATTGGATTATTACTACTATATTTATAACTCCATTATGGATAAGATTTTATTTTGATAAATCACAGTGTGGTACAGTAATATTAACTGATGACGTTTCGAGCACAAACTATTGATCATAATCATATGAAGTTGAGCAATAGTTTGTGCTCGAAACGTCATCAGTTAATATTACTGTACAACACTGTGATTTATAAAAATCGTATCCATAATGGAGTTATACTCTAGCACAGTGCCCAAGTTTTATACTTATATCAATAACACTATATTTATATTGGAACTCCACTAATCCCCATCGGATAAAGCAAATGTTACACTACTTCGTCAAAGAAATATGATGTGCCGATATAATTGCCCCCCCTCTTACTACCTACTACTTCGCATTTGGTCTCTGATGGAAGAAAAGAATACCCTAGGATCTCTAGGCCGGTGTTAAGTTTAGTAATACGGAACCAAATCAAGAAACCAGTTCTTACAGGCCGTGTGTGTATGTGTAGTCTCAAGCAGTTGTCCCCTGGGCTCTCTGTGGTCACGCGACACTAACCCTCCTTCTGTTTCAGTTACCCGAAGAATCAACCAACTTCCACAGATGTTTTGTCCTGGTTTGGGAGACTCTTCAGAACTATGCACACCATACAGATATATAGACATATCAATATTAAGACTATGTTGTCCGTGTGCAAACACGCACAGAAGTGAACCCACTGGATCTACTATATTCCGAAATAATACACAAACACACACACACAAAAGTAAGGAAAAAAAGAGGGAGAAGAATGCATCAGTCGAAAAACATGACTACCACCAGAGAAGCGACAGGCACCTGTGTCAAAACCTCTGTCATTTGACCGCAAACGTTTTCACCCTATTCCTCGTGTAAATTGGTATCATATTTGTAAGTAATATTTAGGTTAGACAACGTGTTAAGTAATGAAGTCAAGTCAATCAATACGTTTATGAAACTGCATTGATTGAGATGGGTAGGACAAGCGTTTTGTGCATGTTAAGTATCCCACCACCTTCTTCATAGAGTAATGTTACCACCTGATAAAGGAATTAGGTTAGAAAAAAGAGTTAGGTAGGAGGGTCGTCAAACCGAAACCTAACCCCATCAATGCATGAAGTCTTCTATGACTGCCAATTTCAGCCCCGTGGATATGTACACATAATACACACCGTCTGGTTGGATGTCCAATGGCTTGAGATTGTTGGTGATGCAACTCCAAATTTTCCTCAACACTACGTAGATGCCTTCATCACACACGCACACACATCCATTCAATCCTCATGTTTTTCCATGTGTTGATATTCTTTCTCTCATACATCTCTCCTCATCATAGCCCTTTTGGACCTTTTTCACTCTTTTCTTCACCTTTGTGAGTTACACAATAGAGAGTGAAAACTCGAGCTGTTGCAACTATGTGCAAAGTTATCTTATGTTAAGACCAGTCAGTCAGTCAGTGTGGGTGGGTGTGTGAGTGCACGCGTGCGCGCACAGATGTGAATCATTACGAACTAAACATATTTCAGAGGAAAACACAGGATGATATATGAATCAAGAAATATGATTAGCAGAGAAGTGATAAACGTGTTCAAAATCTCTATCCTACATGCTAAAAGATAATAAGTCAATAACATCAGCCTCATTTTATTCATTTGTGTTCCGTGTGAAACATAAACCTTCAAGTTTCAGCTCTGAAATTTCCGTAGCGGTGGTATTGTTTATTCTGTGGGGTGAAAGGGTCGCTAATCACATATCCAAACTTACCTCCTTAACGGGCGGCTTACTAACGGCTATGAGAATGAGAGGTTTAGGAATGCGTCAGCCAGAAGTCAAACCCTGACCACAAATTTACTAAGCTTACTATCCAGACGATATCGTCTTACTGTGCGATAGCATGCAGGTTGCCAAAATCGCACGTAATCAGTTGGCGATCAGTGTATGTAAGTATGGCATGTGCTTTGCGCCGTCTAAGTGCAAAGTACTGTTACAAGATTGGCAGAAGCATGTACCTGCACTCACTCTTGCGGGTGAACCGCTTGAAGTTGTTGATAAGTTTGTGTATCTGAGTAGTTAAGTGAGTGCTGACGGAGGTGTGACGGATGAGTTTTCCAACCGTATCTTGAAAGCTAGGGTGGCATACGTTAGCTTGAACCACCTCTGGCGATGTTAGCCTGGCTGTCAAAGGTCGGGTATACAATGCTTCGGTGCGGGCTGCCCTGCTCTACGCCTGTGAAACCTGGCCTCTCCGAGGTGAGGATGTTCGGCGACTCTGCGTGTTTGATCATCGCTGTCTCCGCAGGATTGCTTGCCTCCGATGGCATCATCGCGTGAGTAATTCTGAGGTTCGGCGCGTGTGTTTGAGCACAGTGGAGATCACCATTCATTGAGTGTCGTCATCTGGAAACACCGGCTCCGGTGGCTTGGACATGTGCTGCGAATGTCATCCAGAGGTTACCGTACAAGTCTCTGTTCGCTAGCCAGCCCTGGGACGGTAAAGAAAAGGCGGAGAGGTGGTCAGACCATGACGTGGTGTCGTGGGATGAAGGATATTTTGTGCTAGATTAGCATCGGTTGATGCGTCACATTATGGACACCAAGAGATGAACTGATGGTGATTAAAACAGGCTAATATACCACTTGATCCTTTCGGAATCCAGAGCTCATGTACATCAAAGGCTTCCAATCATGGTTGTCCAACTCCCCTCTCTAGATAGACCTGTATGTCCACCAGTCTGGTTGTAAACGCGCCAGACACTTTAGTGACGAACACCTACGCACGATGCATAAAGGCAGAGTTTGTGGAAGTATGGAAACGTGAGAGCATTTGAAGTGGAAGACCGAAGTCTACCCACTCTCATCCGTACCAACCGCGTCATTTATGGGGTCCTCTATTCTGTAAGACTAGATGGAACAACGAATGTGGACAATAAACGAACAGTCAAGTAGTATCACTCGTGGTGGACCTAGAACCAGAGTAGTAATTCCGAGGTCACTGCTTCTCCTATCCTTACAGCAACACAGATTGTCATTTCGCATTCACAATCATCACTACTGATTTGAGCGTATCATGTCATTTTGTCAACATTGGTAAATTGTACATAGAAACAATGAATTTTATACATATGATAGGTAGCAAAAGAAAAATAAATTTTACCTGTAACCATGGTCCACGAGCAACATATGGTGTCTCTTCACTAACAAATGCTCCAGACACACCAGTTGGAACTAAAGTGATTGCATGGTCAGGATAATTAGCATTTAAAAATGTAAAATGTCTACCATGACGTAAACGATCATTCACAGCCAACGGGAGCATTTCACCAGCTTCACGACATAAATGCACATCCAAATAGTCAATAACACGTGTTGGCATCATATCTAGGCTAGCTGGAGAAAGTGATAAGTGTGCTAGTGGAGTGCATGGAGCAGATCCATCCCCAGTACTTCCAGTACCTGGAGTACGACTTCCCTTAGGCTCAGCAGCAGTAGCAGTTGCTGTAGACGGATCAAACGGTTTATCTGTTAACATATTCGATGGTAGTTCTGAGTTGAATGTTTTAAATCCAAGTGCACCGCCAAGTGAATTTGTCAATTCTGTAGGTGAGGTGACTAAAGAACCAGGAATACACCTCCACTGGAGCACAACTATTTCCACCGGTTTTATTCATTCCATGACGACCTACAAAAAGGATTAAGTAGGGGGGGGGGAAATAAATTTATTTACTATGAAAATTTTAACAGTAAGGATATTACATTTTTAACTTCATAGTATGATAGAAAGATGACTGAACGACCAGTGGACAAAAGTAACCGTAAGTATAAGGTCTAACTGTAGGCATTAATTAAACATCATTCAAGACTGAATTGTATGACTTCCAACAATAAGAAAAACAGGTGCATAAATCTCAATCTCCGCCAACTTCCCTTTTACTTCGGATAAACTTACGAAATAATATTTGAGTGTTGGTTAGCTGGGATTTGATTTGATTGGTTACAGGATTTCATCATGAGCTCACATAGGTTACAGATGTGACCATTGGAAAACCAGATAGGAGTACTGGACAGCTGCTTCGTCCTAATTTGAGACTCTTCACAGTACGCAAACACCGCCAGGGCTCGAACCCAGAACGAGCTCGTAGACTATTAAGCCACCGAGACTCGATCCAATCATACTCAAATTGACATTTGCAGGGATTTGATTGGGATTTCAAGTTAGATGACTAACTGAATCATGTCATTTAGAGAGTTACTGAAAACTGGAGTAAGAAGTACTACTGGTCAGCTGTTTCATCGCAATATAGGACACTTAATATTTAGGAGATAATAGAGATGGATTGGTCACACACTGAGGAGACCATCGAATGACATTGCGCTCAGTGCATGCCATAGCTAGAGTGGAAATCGCGATGGGAAACGATGAGTGGGTCGTCGATTGGAGAGTGACATGGAGGAGATTGTGCGAGGAGGATATGAGAGACTATGGTCAGCGGTGGAGCCAGGTGAAGAGGAGCTCAGAAAATAAGAAATAATGGAGATGCACTACTGAAGCCCTATGTTTCACTCGAAACCCAAGGAAACAATAATAATAATAATAATTCATTCAGGTGCGTCAGGGATTTAATTGTAGGATCCTTGCTAATTGTGCAGGTGGTTTAAGTTCGATTCCTGACCAATTTATTCCTCAACCTCGCCTTGGTTACTTGCCAATAATCCAACCGGAAAAGAGGATGGTTGGACGTAAGGCCGGCGGCATCCCCCCCTCCACGGTAGAAGTAACACCATCATCATTATTGAAACCTTAAAGCTCAAAGCTTGAGACCCTACGTTCCACTCGGAACGCATGGGAATGAAAAAGGATATTCAGGCTGTGAGTAGGTGACACGATTGTACACTCATTAAATAAAATGGATCTCCAGTATTTATCCTGCTGCATACATGTTATCATTGTTATTGCTCTATTCATGTAAAACTTCACTAGTAATTTAGAAAAATTTACAATTATAAATAATATCGAAGCATCTGCACAAGAAGCCGATATGTTAACCTGAGACCAAGCACTTCGGTCCAATCAATCGACGGGAAAATCAAAAATTCAATTAAACATTACTCTTTGGCAAAAATGAGTTCTTTTCATGCGTCGGATTATGCAGAGGTTTGATTTATTCTAATTCTGATCACGAATTGACTCCAGCTAATGAGCCATTGCAAAGAATGGAGTAATAGACAGTTGTCTCTTCCCAGTTTGGGACACTTCAGCAGTAAACACGCATATGGCTCCCATCCCAGTAGCTGAAAGGTTCGCCTGAAGGTCCTGGGTTCGATGCCAATTGGTGTCACTGGTGTGTGCTGCTGAAAAGTGCCAAACAAGGACGAAACGGCTGTCGAGTGGTAGTACTGCCTGATGATTTTCAATAATTCTTCAACTGAAGTTGATTCCCGATTAAATTTAAAAATGACATTACACATGTACTTACCACCAAATGGTGATTGATTAAACATATTCATAGGTCCTACTCGTCCACACCATGCAGAGAAACCACCAGGTGCACTGATTGTTTGTCCATCTGTACCACCTGCATTACGATTACTCATAGACGATAGAATACGTGATTTCGACTCAAAACGTGACATTTTCAGCGAGGAATTCACTTCAGGCGACATTGAACCAATAGCTGTAGTTGATGAATGGATATAATTCTCACTGGTTAACAACTTTTGTGCTGTTGCGTCAACAACATCCTCACCGTTGCCACCGCCGCCATCTCCACCGACATGACCACCATTGCCACCAACAATATCAACAAATTCATCTTCTTCAATTCGTTTCTTCACTGAATATGAAACCAACGTGTCATCGGTATCCATTGCTATCGTTTTCGACCCAATATCTGTATCCGATTTATGCGTAGAACTATAATTAGGGAATAAAATTGATTTAGACAAAGATTGTCCACTTGTTTTCGATGTATACAAACAACTCGTTGATAACGATGATGATGATGATGGCGGTGAAGAGCAGTCATGTTTCTGTGTTTGACGACGTAGACGACGTGATTCCAACTCGCCGGGAAGCAGTTCACCTAACGCTGACATTGTAATAGGTGACCAGGCGAAATAAGATGTTGTCACACCGGATAAATTAGAACCTTCACGTTTCAATTTTTCATTGATATAATCAACTAGATTTGGTTGTAATTCAAATAGACTTAAATTTCTTCGCATATCTGTGACAAGTAGACCACCACCAGTTTCAATGGAACAACTCATTAATTCAGCGACATGTGAACCAGTCCATCGTTGTACTAAACGTAATTCTTCATCGCACAATCCAACCAACTACACAAAAAAAAAAAATAATAATAATAATAAACATAATATTCAGTTGTAAAACGTACATAATAATAATTGGAAAATGTGAGGCGACCTAATTTAATGAAAACAGATAACACGTAGTTCATCGAAGAGTCTCTTTTCGCCGATGAATTCTCTTTCTTAGCTGTACAATCGGCAAATATACATGTGTTGTTTTGTATGTACGTGTACATTAAGTTTGTCAAACAAAAGTAGACAATTGGTTATGGTTATTTTAGCTAAACAGGTGAAGATTTGTAATTCGAGGTTAATGAAATTAGGGTAGTAACAAAGGTGATGGGTTGTCACAAACAGTTGTTAAAAGAAGTTATGTAATAATAATAACATGAATAGTTTGATGAGTGAGTTTTACTCAGGATGCACATAGAAACAACAAAGTAGATAATACGAAACTATGTAAGAGGTCTAAGTGAATACAAGAATTATAAGCAATAAAAGAACAGGCAAAGAAACAAAATTAAGTCATCAAAATAAAAATAAAAACTCAAAACAAATCAAAACATTGTTACCATGAGAGTAGAAGTGGTTGAGTAATCTTCTTTTGTGTGCACAGCTCCAGTTTTTCCATGTGAATGGCCAGAGCTTCGGCAATACAAAGGCGACGAAACCGTGTTGCCTTTGATAGGTTATTCGTGACTCTGTTGATTACTGTGAAGCAGGAGGCGTTTGTTGAGATGGAATGGTCAGTGTTAACCAGGTGTTGAATTATCGCACTCCTTATTGCACCACTATTGCCTTTTCGTAACCATGCTGGATAGTGTTCTTGAATCCTCTTGGACAGGATGCGCATCGAACGATCGATGTACCTGGCTGGCTCCACAGCAGTAGGTGAACTGATATATGCACATAGAAGTGATTAGATGCGGGATCTTCTCCTTGAGGCTTCTGCAGATCATTGGGCGACTGGAGAATACTATTCTTAGCGTTGCCGCAAAGAATGTTCTTCTCAGAGATGATGTGATCCTTCTCTTGAAATCCAGGTTCATGTAGAGTTTCTTTTATGGGCGCAAGTGAAGTTTCATTTCTCCAAATTCTTGGTTTGATATTTTTTGTCAATGAATCTTGGTGGGTATCCATTTTGGATGAAGATTTCTCTTAGAATATCTAACTCTGTTTCTAGAACATCGGAATGTGGATGGTAAGTGATTTAATAATTAAATTTCGCTTTTGTTGAATGGGTACCCAGCTATAGAAGCTTGTTAGTTGACCATTCCAAGTAGCTTTTCTAAGGATCGATCTTCTTAGGCTCCCATCAGTTCTTCTTGTTAGTTTCACATTAATTTAAATTGAATGGATTACTGTTATTAACAACAATTGAATAGCATAAACACAGTAATGCACTGAATATCAGAGAAATTAGAATAATAATATAAATTCATAAAATTATAGTTTTCATTGAAGGTCAGAGTGCGTCGGTAGCGTAGAGGTAGAATGTTCGCCAACCACTCAAGTGGTCCGGAGTTTGATCCCCGTCCACCGACACACTCATTTATCTTGCTTAGCTGGTAAAAAGCCAGCAAAAAGAGGGAAGGTTTCGTATGAGACCAACAATCCCACCTCGTAAAATTAAAAACCACTGCTACCGAAACTTCAAGCCTCTAGCTTGAGGCCCTATGTTCCCCTGGGAATACAAAGGAGCAGTAATCATAATACTGAAGGCCAGGGCAGCAGTAGTCACTGGACCTATTTCTTCTCCACCCAGAGCACCGGTTGTTTAAGGCGATTCCCGATAGCCTTTACTGTTTGGAGTATGCGGTACCTTGATGTTTTTGACAAATTGTTTGATACCTGATCGATGATGGAGAAGGGCTCTTCAATACTGGCTGCCTTGTGGCCAGTCGGTTTGGACCAGGTGTTCTAATATTGAGCTATTGATACTTCTCAATATACCTTAATTCAACCACACAGGTAGATGTTGCTGAACACAATGGCCAATATACTCGCTCAACAAGTACAGTTGAATTGGTAGATAGAATTACAAGTGGTTACTCTAAGTACTTCATCTTTTAACTGGGGAATCACGACTGGTCGTGTATGTGGTAATTCATTGGAGGCTATAAATTCATGAATTTATGCTATCAAACTGTAATCCACTGGTATTATTATTATTATTATTGATTCGATGTTATTTAAACAACAATGATGTTTGGTTACAGACATTTATCAGGAGCTGACATTTGTTTGAGAACCATAGGAAAGCCACCCAGGAGTATTGGACAAACTTCTCATCCTAGTTTAGGACTTTTCATCACGGTCCGAGCCCAGGACCTTCTGGGTAAAAGGCGAGCTCACAGACCATTAAGCCATTGGCCAGCCCATGAATTCCAACTCCTGCAAATTCACGACAGAAAGACCGCTAGCCAATGTCATCGCTAGCGAGCATTTGTCCACACACTCGACCTGCTGCATCCTACTGGTCACGATATCCCACTAAAACTCCAGGTAACTGCCTACCTGAATAGGCCCAGTCGTTAGTGAGCATCTCATTCAATCAATTAAATCCCTACAAATAAATATTTGAAAACATTAATGTTGTTAATAACACTAATTCATTCACTACTATTATGTCTATATGAGACTGGAAAACCTAATGATGAAGATATATCGAAAAGAATATTCTCTGTACAGCAACCATTCTTTTGAAAATAACTTTAATAGGCATTTTAATCAGTTAATTTAAAGTGACTCTGCGGGTTGACCCAATTAGACAACACAACGTGATTTACAAAATATCTTGTAGTGACCGTATGTGGGGTCAACTACATAGGTCAAACTAGTTGGTCGGGGGTAGTCAGATTGGCAGATCATAAGAATTCAGCTAAGGTTAGAATCGTTGATCCCACGAAGATAAGTAATTTAGAAAAAAGATCAGCAATCACACTGCATGGATTAACACACAACCATACAATAGGGTGAAATAGAGTAACAATTCTAAGAAGTTATATAGATAGATGAAGAGAGAGAGAGCTTGATTACTGAAGCTTTGTTCATAGAATCTACGCACAAAATAACACATGCAATAGAATTGACTGAGCACAAATACCAGAGATATGGGAGATATTACTACCAATCAAATTAACAGATGCGAAATAGTAGAATCATATAAATCAAGTTGGAAAGTTGTGTGAGTAACCTGATATGATTATCAACAATAAACTATGCTCGAAACGCCATCAGTGAATACTACTGTACAGCACTGTAAGACTTTATCAAAATAAATTTTATCCACAATGGAATTGGCATATGCTAAACGTGACTTCTGTATCTGTGCTGAAATTTCGTCGATGACCAACGCCGCTGGGATTGGCTGATTCAACTTCCCAAAATAATGGTGGTCAACACGCTCTATTTTGTAAGACAATCATCTGATTTAGTCATTCTCTGTGGTTGGATATCCAGCCAAATTTACATAAGTCTTACATTTCCACAAATAATAGAAAACGATAATAAATTAAAACCATTTCAAGGCCCAGCTATTCATGATTTCCACTTGGTTAGTTAGTTGATTACAACTCAGTTATGCACGAAGCAGATTTCCCATATATCAAGTTGTAATGAGTCGGTGGCACAGCAGTAGAATGCTCGCCAACTGCGCTTCATACGGTGGTTCGGGGTTCAATGCGCGGCCAACGCACTCCTTTATATCGCTAAGCCAAAATATAAGGCAAGATTAAGTAAGCATGAGGTTAGCAACTCCATCCCGTAAAAATAAGCACCACCACTGGCTACCGAAACTTCTCTAGCTTGAAGCCCTGTTTTCTGCTAGGAAAGTAAAAGAATGAAGAAGAATGCTGTGATGTAAACTTATTATTGTGGTAGGGCTGATGATACTACTATCCTTCCGCTGTTAAGTCTTTTGGTTGACATAGAGCTGAGTGAAGTAATTTTGTTGGTTTGTACGCAATATCAACTCCTAAAGGTTTGAAGAACCTTACAGTGATTTCTGAGAGGTTCTTGATATATGGCAAGATGATTTTCTTTGTGTTTCTCTTGGGGCTCGGGAAGTTACGTGGATATCTATCGATTCTTTTGAAAGACGTCCATGCGATATTTTTCCTCAATTTTCCTTAAGACAGGAGTGGTGCAATGACTCCTGACCCTCTTGAATAGTGTTTTTATGGAACTCTATTTGTGTGTTATTCGATTGTTGCTGTTGTAATTGAGTACACAGATAAGATGAAGAGTGCGAGTGAGTTGGTGGCACAGAGGTTAGGACGCTCACCGACCATGATCCGGGGTTCGATCCCCGGCCACCGAGGCACTTCTTTACCTCGCTAAGCCAGTAATAAGACGACTGGTAAAGAGAAAACCTTGGATATGAGGCTAGCAATCCCATCCTGTAGAAAGAAGATGAAGAGTATTCATCCCGTGTCATTCCTTGTATATCTAGTTAACTAGGAGATATAATAAAACATTAGCAGAGATAAATTCTTCACAGTCACGCACATACATACACACAAGCATTAGTCCATCTCCAACTGTATTACTTAAAAGTACTTACTACTACACAATTAGGCCTACACTTCTCTCTCTCTCTCTCATGTAAAATGTATCGCAAAACAAGTAACTAGATAAATAAGTATATAAATAAATAAATAAATAAGTACTTTACTCATATCAAGATAAGATAAAGGGTATAGCAACTGTAGGATGGAACACAGCCAAACACATGTATGACCTTGAACTTTAATCAAATCGATATCATCAAAATAGACGTGTCATAGCTTGTTGAATAGTAGTAGTGGTGGTAATAATAATAATAATAAAAATAAATTATTCACACTTTAAATAAAAACAACAACGGTCATTTAGACATCCAATGATGACACGGAAGCCATGACGTGAAGAGGAAATGGACGGCAAAAGTGGGGGGAATCGTGGAGTCAGCTAAGACGAAGCAGAAGACGATTGCAGAGAACGGAGTGAAATGGCGATGTGAAGAGTTTCACTCGCGGAACCCAAAGGAATAATTATAATAGCTCAGTCAGTCAGCCAATCAAACAGATTGAAAAGCTGTAGTTCATTGGTACAAGTCATCGTCAACTCTCAATCAAATGGGTTGTGGAGTCCGAAATCCACTTCCACCGCCTACTAAAAGGGATAGTTAGTGTCAAGCAGAAGTATCAATCGCTAACGTACAATTGGTGCGCATCACTGCGAAATGTATGAAAATGTAAAATGGTTGTACAGTGACTTTTTGAACTGCTTTTGGAGTGGAGAGCACTACCGATCTTTTGTCTGACATATACTACGCGTTATCCTTTCTTTGTTGTGTGGCTTACTGGTGTTGAGGTGGCACTTGACTCCCGACATATGTATAAGGCGTTCGAAACCCCGCTCTACCTACCAAGATTTGAGAGGCTATGTGATACGATCACTAGCTGTCTCTTTTTCTTTCACATAATAGATGTGGCTTATTGTCAACTGCAGGGAAATGCAGTAAGTGATTGCCCTTCATTAGTTTCGTTGAGTTCCGAGCGGAACATAGGGTCTAAGAATAGAACGTCGGCACTGTGGTAGAGTATAATTCCATTATGGAGAAATTTGTTTTAATAAAAATCATGAAGCGAAACAGATAGAAGTGTTGAGTATAAATAACTATTCTATAAAATCTGGTGAGAAAATCGAAAAAGGTCAAAATAAAAATAATGACGAAACTGTCTGTCTGCTTTCGACATGGAACTTTGCACAAATGTGCGGAAGTTCAAGTCGCCACACTCCGTGTAGCACGCGAAGTAAGAGAAGAAAGTATAAGAAAAGCATAACAGAAACAGTGAGCAGAGATGTGAGACAAAGGAGAATAAAGAATAACAAAAGTTTCATTGGAGATCATAAGTCACAAGGAGTGGATGGATCTGCACCAGCCACTGAGAACGATTTTGAGCCATGTCACCAATTGTTTCCAACCATAGATTTTTACCGTCCCGAGGACCCCAGCCTGGAAGTCTACACCTTCCTACGTGGCTTAGACCAACTGTTGTGGATTTCATTGACTGGTGAGGCCATGTTTTTGTTTGACCGCCGCTAGCTTTTTTCCAGCCTGACCCTATATCCGCTAACATTGCTCGTCGAGGGAGGCGATGGCTTGGCATACGTAACACATGTCCTAACCATCTCAGTCTTTGTAACTTCACGACTTCGTCGATTGATTTCCCTTGTTTACCTAGAACTCGACGCCTAACTTCAATATTGCTCACCTTATTATGCCACTTTACACGGGAAATAGAGCGCAGGCACCTATGATCAAGGCAGCTAGTCTTTTCAAGTCTTCCACTCTCAGTGGCCAGGTCTCACAACCATAAAGGAGGACGGAGCGGACTGATGAGCAGTACACCCGCCCTTTGGTCGATAGTCGAACATCTCGTCTACACCAGAGTCGGCGTAAACTGGCAAATGAGAAACGAGCCCCCTGTATTCGTGCTGAGATTTCGTCAGAGATCAACCCGTTGGCGTTGGCTGATGGTACTTCCCAAATAAGTGAGGCGGTCAACGTGCTCTATCACTTCACTTCCTATTTTTAAACTAGGCGTCGATGTAGTCCAGTCCTGTAACATCATCTTGCATTTGGCGGGAGCGAATCGCATGCCAAACATTCGTAGATTACAGCTCAAGGTGTTCAGAAGACTCTGCATTTCGTCAGCGTCTTCGCCTAGAAGGACTATATCGTCTGCATATTCCAAGTCAACGAGATTATTCCCAGGTAGCAAGTCAATCCCTGAATCGCTGAAGTCACCTAGGGTTAAGTCCATTAGTGCATCTATGATGAAGTTGAATAGAAAAGGGGATAATGGGCATCCTTGACGGACACCACTAGCCGTCACCAGTTCAGATGACAGCTCGCCATAAGCCATCTGTCTGTCTGTTTTCGACATAGAACTTTGCACAAATGTGCGGAAGTTCAAGTCGCCACATTCCGTGTAGCACGCGAAGCAAGAGAAGAAAGTACAAGAAAAGCATAATAGAAACAGTGAGCAGAGGTATGAGACAAAGGAGTAATAAAGAAACACAAAACAGTTTCATTGAAGCCATAATGACGAAACTAATAATAACATAAATAAGAAAGAATATAAGGCATCTACAGTAGTTTTACAATACAAGGAGGGGACATCTGAGACCCTCTCTAAGTAGGATTCTTGATAAAGCAGAAATTAGAGTGACATTTAAACATACAAACTCACTCAGGTAGGACAAGCTCTGTACGTTAAAAGATACTGTAGGTTGACCCAATTAGATAAAATAATATAATTTATAAAATACCTTGCAGTAATTGTGAGTTAAGATAGGCATATAGGTCAAACCAGTAGATCGAGGGTAGCCTGATTGTCAGAACACAAGAATTTAGTTAAGTGTGGAATCATTGACCTCGCGAAGATAAGTAATTTAGAAAACAAACTCAGCAATTACACTGCATGCATATATTAACACACAATCACACAGTAGGGTGAGACAGAGTAACAAATCTAAGAAGTTATATAGATAGATGGAGAGAGAGAGGTTGATTACTGAATCTTTGTTCATAGAATCTACACACAAAATAACACATGCAGTAGAATTGACTGAGCACAAATACCAGAGATATGGGAGATATTACTACCAGTCAAATCTAAAGATGAGACACAATGAAACTATATATAAACGAAGTTAGAAATTTGTATCGATACGTTGATATGATTGTGAGCAATAAGTTGTACTCGAGATATCATCGGTAAATATTACTGCATAACACTGTGAGACTTTATCAAATGAATTTTCTCCATAACGGAACAAAAGGCTTCAAGTTGTACACTTTGTATTTTCAGTAGCAGTGGATTTATTTTTACGCGGTGGGGTCGGTAGCCTCATGCACAATTCTCCTTCTTTACTGGGATCACTACCATCTAAGTGAGGTCTGTGTGTGTGTCAACCGGTGGGGGGAGGGGGGGAGTCAAACCCCAATTAGCACACATTCTGCCGCTGCGCCAACGACGCTCTAAAATGTCATTATTACTCTTCACAGCAGAAAACTAATGAAAAGTTGTAAAGAAAAGAGAGGTAGAATTCATGAGTTTAGCTAGGTGTAGAATGATAAGTAAGGAAGGGAAATTAATAGATGAAGCTGTGAAGCTACATCGACTGAGATGGTTAGGACATGTGTTACGTATGTCCAGCCTAGCCATCGCCTTCCTCGATGGTCAATGTTAGCTGACATTGGGTCAGGCTGGAAAAGAGCTAGCCGCGGTCAAACCAAAACATGGCTTCAACAGTCAATGAAATCCACAACAGTTAGTTTAAGCCAGCCAGCCACGTAGGGAGGTGTAGACTTCCTGGTTGGGGTCCTCGGGAAGGTAAAAACCAATGGTTGGAAACAATCGGTGATATGGCTCAAAGTCATCGTTCTCAATGGCTGGTGCAGATGCATCCACTCCTTGTGACTTATAACTTCCAGTGAAACTATATTATTCTTTGTTATTACTATTCCTTTTGTCCCATATCTCTGTTAACTGTCTCTCTATTTCGCATTTTTTCTACTTTCTTCTCTTGCTTTGTGTGCTACATAGAGTGGAGTGTGGCGACTTGAACTGCCGCACATTGGTGCAAAGTTCTATGTCGAAAACAGACAGACAGATCATCAACCGATGTCATTATCAATGGGTACTCGATTGTCACTCGCAACTGGATGGACCTCACTGGTCACGACTTCTCACTAGAACTCCATCCCGTACTGCTGATGAGTCCCAAACTAGGCTGGTAAAACACAGCTAGCTGTCCATCAGTACTCCTCCCTGTGGGTTTTTTTCAATGGTTCTCTCTCTCTCTCTCTCTAAATGATATCAATCCCGTGGTCAAATTCGAAAAAACAAATCAACACCTGAAGAGATGGCATAAACATACCTGTAAAAATTGAACATAACCATATGGTGTTGTAATCTTTTTCAACTGAGGATCTTCAATTAACAGCATATGATGAATACGTGAACTTGATGAATTATTGCCTGCTTGTTTTTCTTTAACTGTAGTATCCTCCGAGGTGTTGTTCGCTGACGAAGAGCTACTGTTATTATTATTATACACTGCAGCTAAAGCCGCTGCAACCATTGATGCATACGTCGATGGATTCGTCAATGCCGACAGAGTAGCTGATGTTGATGCAGTCATTCCTGTTTTAGCACTGTTAGCAGCTAAGATAGACGCTGCAGTGGCTGCAGCTGCCATAGCAATCGATTTTCTAGCATTTTCCAGTTCTTCTGGATTCATTTGCTTATCTGTCGATTGTTGTTGCTGTTGTTGTTGAGAAGGATGATGAGATGGTCGTTTCTCAGATTGTTGCGTTGAATTCGGTTGTTTATCTAATGATGTAGGCCAGGGGATGTGGTCACCAGCCATTAATTGAGCTTGTGAATAAAATACATAACGTGCAAGACTTTGTAATAAATGAGCTGGCCAGGTTGGTGGATTTGTCTCGCCTGGTTCACGTTTTACACGAAATGTTAACTCGAAACCAAAACCGCTGGGACCATCAGTTGTATTAGAATGACTAAAAGAAATAAAGATACAAAGAACAAAATGTTCATAATGGTGTGCCAAAGAAAATAATCAATATGTTTTCAGTGTACTCTATGGACGAAAATCGAAATCTTGGCGGTAAGTATCGACATTGTAATAATCAACCCCTTGCTAACGACTGTTGCAGATATGACTTATCGGCTTAAGAACTAGGCAATAGTTTGGCAGTTCGAGCTCCATCCCAAGTTACTCACCCTCGTGTATTGTCTAGCATTATCAGCCTGAAACATGAAAGATCTTCAAGTGTTGGTTTACAGGGATTTGAGTTGACTGGTTACGGGACTTCATCATGAGCTGACGTCGGTTAGAGAGGCATTGGAAAACTACCACAGTGTAATGGACAGTTGTTTCGCCAGTATAGTTTGAGACTCCTCAGCAGTACGTACTCATCACAGGGGTTTAAACCCCAGGACTTTGCACAGTTACGGTGAGGCGACCTCATATACCATTCAGCCATTGGAATCCGATCCGATGGCCAGCCCATGAATTCCAACTTGTGCCAATTCACGATATCAGCTCATGATGAAATCCTGTAACCAATCAAATCAAATCCCTGCAAACCAACACTTGAATATCAGTATGATGCTCTTTAGCGACTGGTCCTATTCAGGTAGGTAGTTACCTGGGTTCTAGTGGGAAGCAGTGACCAATGGGGTACAGCATGTCTGGTGTCAGGACAAATAGTCGCCAGTGATGACATTGGTTAGTGCCAGTCCGACTTTATCGTGCGTGAACTGGTAAAGGTTGGAATTCAAAAGCTGGTTATTGGATCGGGTCCCAGTGGCTAAATAGTCTATGAGCTCGTCTCATCGTAACCGGAAGGTTCTGGGTCCGAACCCTGGTAGTGGGTGCGTACTACTCAAGAGTCCAGTACTCCCAGGTTTCCCAGTGGCTTTCTAACTGATGTCAGGTCGTGATGAAATCCTGTAACATGAAAGATCCGTTTCAGCGACACCAGTAAATACTGATCACCAGTGTAACAACAGAAGACAAGGGCCAGGCAACAGATCGTTTTATTATCAAAATCAACACGTATTTATACATCTTTCAACTACATTATTATAGACAAGCGCAGTCATCTGATTGGTTGTTTAGGTAAACAAACGCAGGCTTCTGATTGGTTGTTTCGGGATTCCTTGACAAATAGAGTTCTCTATGCGAATCATATTTTGCCACGTTAACTTTGCTGTGATTGGTTGTTGACTCAGGCTTGTTCATATTTTCTCACGGCCCTAGACCTAGACCTTAACGTAGATTAGTGCCAACCAATCGGCTAGCAGCCTGCTCTCACCACACCAGTAGTTAATTCAGCGAACTCTCTCTCTTTATTCAAATAGATTTAAAGTGTTATAGTAAGATAAGAATTTCTAACGTTAATGTTAAGTCACTGCTTCTATATCATTCAGAGCCTCGGTGTGTGTGTCAGGAGAAGCATTTCGGACAACAAAACTGTACACTTTCATAAATAGCAGCTGCCTTCGGTGTATGCTGGACAATAGATGGCCGGTCAGAAAGGGTAAACAACAAGGAACTCTAACAAACAGAGAACCAGTCAAGAACCTAAGCCTCAATAAATATTTAGAAACAAATGGAGATGGATTGGATATATGCTGAAGAGACCGTTAGCTGAAATAATTCGGACTGCCTTCCAATAGAAGGCAATAAGTTTGGCGTTGGTCTGTTACTGACATGGAGGAGATTGTGTAAGAGTGAAATGAAAGTTTATAGGCAATCGTGTAGCCTGGCAATACAGGCCACGAAGAACAGAGTGAAGCGCCAATATGTTGCTGCTGAAGCTATATATTCTACTCAGGACTAACAGAAATAGTATTATTATAACTGGTAGTGGTAGTGGAACTTAGTAGTTACCTGAAACAGGACTGAGCCACATTTACTGTAGGAGGATTGATCATAAAATTCACAAACTTGGTAACATTATCACCACCAAGAGATGAGCCACACAAAATCTCATAATTTGTGCAAGGGTTGCAATACTATCAGGACGCCCGGACCGAAGCAGTTGGTAGTCTTCAGGGACTACCTCCGTCGACCCCTTGGCTTGAAGTCTGATTCACAAGGTAGTGGAGTAGCGTCAGGGGGCAGAATAGATCCATGCGCTATTCGACCCGTCCAGATTCTGAGGCCTATGTACACCATGGGTTCGTAATTAGGGTTTTCCAACTCCCCTCCCTAAGTAGAACTGCACATCCCACCAGTCTGATTGTAAGCGCCAGACGTTTGCATTCACCCTTCCACTTTTGTGAGGGATACCCTTGCCGTGTGAATTCAATGACAACGGCTTACCTGGTAGAGACTGTGGACGCGCGGTCACATGAGAAGATTTCGAAAGACAGAAGTCTATCCACCCTCAACCTTATTATTGTATTATATTATTATTGCTCCCTTGGGTTCCTAGTGGAACATAGGGCTTCAACTGCACGTCTCCATTCTCTTCTGTCTTCTGCTGTACTTTTCGCCTGCATCCATGTTAGTCCATATTCTTTCAACTCCTCTTCACACGATCTCCTCCATGTCACCCTTGCACTGACGTCCCACACGCCGCTTCCCTTTCGGGTTCCACTCAAGGGCTTGACGCGCGATGTCACCCAGCGGTCTCCTCAGCGAGTGTCCGATCCATCTCCACTTTCTCCTGCATATTTGTTGGGCGATTGGTTCTTGCTTTGTTTGTTCCCATAATTCCTTGTTGGTGATTCTTTCCGGCCATCTGATCTTCAGTATTGAGCGAAGACAGTTGTTAATAAAGGTCTGCAACCTTTTGGAAATATTCTTTGTGACCCGCCAAGTTTCTGATCCGTATAGAAGAAGTGACTGACTTGACGTTTGTATTGAAAATCCGAATTTTGTTGTTGATGCTGCTGAGTGATGAAGATTTCCAGATTGATGAATGTGTTTCTCGCCTTCCCGATTCGATTCTCGATTTGACATCCTCGTCCGCTCCTCCTGTAGTTGAGACAATGCTCCCTAGATAAGTGAATGAAGTAACCTCTTTCAAATCCCTTCCGTTGATGGTGATTGGCGCTGGATGTTGTTGCTGTTGTTGGTTGGTTATTTTCATAACCTTCGTCCTGTCTATGTTTACCTGGAGTCCTGTCTTCGCCGGCTGCTTCTTCGACTAGTTTGTCGGTTTTCGCTTGTAAGTCTTCGATTGTGTGTTACATCAAACATAAATCATCCGCGAAATCCAGGTCTTCTAGGTTCTTCACGTCGGTCCAGGATATCCCTGTCTTCTCGTTTCCCACTGTCTGACGCATACATAATCCAGTCCATCACAATTAGGAATATCATTGGTGATAGTAAGCACCCTTGTCTGACTCCTGTGTTTACTCCAAACGCCTCGCTGAGTTTTCCGTTGTGGATCACTTGACATGTGCCGTTGTCGTACAGCTGTTGAATAAGGTTGATGAATGTTTGGGGTACGCCATAGTACTCGAGTAATTTCCAAATTACTTCGCGGTCGACGCTGTCGAAGGCCTTCTCAAAGTCTATAAAGTTGAGGTAGAGGTTTGATTGCCATTCCATGCTTTGTTCTGTGATGATGATGATGCGTAGAGTTGCAATTTGGTCAGTACATGATTTGCCTTTCCTGAATCCAGCTTGTTCTGGTCGGAGTTCTGTCTCCAGTGCGTCCTTTAATCTCTCCAGGATGATGCGACTCAGGATTTTACTTGGCGTCGATAGGAGCATGATTCCTCGCCAGTTCTTGCAGAGTGAGGCGTAAGTCGCCCTTCTTTGGTAGTTTCACGAGGTAACCTGTCCTCCAGTCAGTAGGCACCTTTCCCTCCTTCCAGACCTTTTGCAATAATGGAGTCAGCATGTCTGCTGTAGTCTCTGGGTCCGCTTTCAGTGCTTCAGGGGGTATTCCATCTGGTCCGGCTGTTTTTCCAGCTTTCAGAAGTTTGATTGCGTTCAAGACTTCAGCTCTCGTTGGAGGATTGGTGTCAACTTGCAGTTGTGTGCGCGCTGTTGTTGGTATTTCTGGACGGGTTGCAGGTGATGGTCGGTTCAAGAGTCCTTTGAAGTGATCCGCCCATTGTTTAATCTGTTTTTCTTCCTTGGTAATTGGGTTCCCTTGGCTGTCTTTTATAGGTTTCGCTTGTGTTGATCTCTTCCCGGATAGAGATTTGGTTATCTGGTTACCCTCAACCTTACCAGGCCGGAAAGAGGACTGAGTCCCGGACTCACTCTCCAAAAGCTGAGTGCTTAAACGATTCAGACAGTGAGTTAAGTATAACATGCATGTGTAATTTTTCTACAAGACGACGATGTAAACGAAGGCAAGAAGTTAAAATTCTCTTCGTTAATCCATAAAATTACTTTTAACATCATTTTCGTATACTCTAAACAACAACCAATCAAACAACACAACTACTCGTGATCCCATGCCAGTCAGCAATGACTCATACATACCTTTGTGTAACACCCCCAGTGGTACAATCTGACCTCCAAGACCTCGATAGGTGGAAAGACTTCCGAACCAGTGACCCGATTATTCGGAAGTAGAACGCCCAAATCACTGAACCATAGCTCTATTATGTGCTACAAACAGTTTCAGGTAAATCTATCGATTTCTCACCAAATACATAAAAATAGAAAACAACAATAGAACAATAACCTCACCCAGTCACTCACTCACCTGTGTAACCTTGAATCTCCGTATAAATCAGATAAACCATTCGTTACATAATGCCAGTGTGAAGGACTTTGTAATTCTACAGAACCAGGATTTGCATACATATTAATAAAATCCAGGGGATCTGGTCCACCCATCCAAAATTTTCGAACAGCTGTTACTTGCAATGGAGTTGGCTGGTCAGGATACAATACTCGACAAGCTGCATAAATAGCCTTTAAGCCTAAAGCTGTGGTATGCTCTTCTTTCATTGATGGAATATTATTATTACTATTACTATTACTATTGTGACTACTACTACTAATACTACTACTATTCATAATATTCGGCATACCAATGCCAGAACTTAGAACCGGGCCAAATGCGCTATTCGACATCGCTGAATCTTAAGCGGATGGTAATCAAATCAAAACATTCTCCCGCCTTCTGTAAAAGAAAAATAGAAAAGAAAATTATGAGAAGTTAGAAGTAAATTTAAAAAGGCTTCAAGTAGATGAATATAAATGTCTTCTCATATAAGTATACAACTTCATTTACCGCGCACATGGAACATAGGGGGCTTCAAGCTAGAGGCTTGAAGTTTCTGTAGCAGTGATGTTTAATTTTTACGGGATGGGGTTGCTAGCCTCATGCCCAACCTTTCCACTTTACCAGTCTTATTACTGGTTTAGCGAGGTATAGAAGAGTGATGACCGGAATCGAACCCCGAACCACACATGAGGCGTAGTTGGCGAGCATTCCAGTGCTGTGCCACCAACGACGCATAACTGCACCAACGCGCACATAAAGTATAAAAGAATATTTCCGAACAAATATTAGTCAAAATTGAACGAAATTAACGTTAACAAAGGAATAGTCAAGTACAGTTTTTGTCTTGCAATAAAGTATCAAAAAAGAGATATTAGTGCGGCATGTGTGCGCTTTGTAATTTATCAGGTTTGGAGTGTTTCTAATAATGAATATCACATATCCATATCCAAGTCATTTTTCAAGCCCCTAGGCACTAGGAGTCTTTACGTCTGTGATAGAATACTCACCTCACAACCCCACTAGAAGGTCGTGCGTTCAACACTCGATGGAGAGTTATTGATGGCTACTGTTGAACACCCCCGACCAGGACGAAACAGTCGTTCAATGTACTCTCTAGTTTAGTACATCATTTGGTTTATCTGTAGAATACCCACCAGCCATATGGCAGAGGTCGCAGTTCGATTCTCGGTTGACTTGTTCCTAAACTTCGCCCAAATAAAAGAGGGGAGGATGGACGTGAGACTGGCTATTAACCCCATCCTATAAAAACAAAACCACCAAAGCTAAAAGAGCTTGAAACATTATGTCCCACTCAGAATGCTAAGAATGAAAAATGAAATTGATTTGGACAAGTGAACATTTGTAATAGTCAGAGAGTCAAAGACAAGCTGTTCCATTCATTTTTTTAAGACGTCCTGGGACATCTTTCAGGTAATCTACACTTAACAGTATAGTTCGACTTTATTCAGCCTAATCTCATTAGTTAGTCAGTTGGTTACACGTCATTCACCTAGTACAAGGTTATGAATGGCGCACTTCTTGTATGAGGTCCCAGACAGAGACAGGCGAAGCGAGAATCGATCCCAGGACCCATTCGTCGATTGCTTAAGCTAGTGAGCCACATCTCAACAAAAGCATTCTCTCAGGGCAAGGCGTATACAAATCTCTTCGAAACACTGCATAGAACCATTAGGTCACAAATTATCCGATTGTCGTTGGTAGATATCGCAACAAAAAGTCATGAAAACAGCTTCAGAGCATATGAAAGACTCAGCACCCCTATAATCTTGCTAACGAGGATGACTGACTGGGTTTCGACATACACCTCAGCACATAAATGCACCAGTTCAAGTTGCCCATTCCACGTAGCACACAAAGATGGAAAAAAGGATTCAAAAGTACTGCAATAAGCAGAAGTGCGCGTCAGAAAGAACAGTAACAAGGGGGAAACGTTAGGCTTTAATCGACATGGAGATAAGAATGAATGAGCGCATCTGCGACACTTAGAACGATTTCGAGTCATATAGCCAACAATCTCCAGCTATCGGGTTTTAGCATGCCGAGAACCCTTTTTACATGACTCGTATCAACTGTCAAAGATTTTATGGACTGATATCGAGTCTTTGTTTGACTATCTCCAACTCTTTTCCAACCTAATTCTATACTGGTTAACTGTGGCTATGAAGGAAGGCGACGACTGGGTATTGGAATGATGCAACTTCCTAAATAAGTGAAATGATCAACACACTCTACCAACTCACTCATGAGGATAGTTAATGATAGTCTTCTGTATCTAACACAGAAACAACGATCCAATTCAAAAACGACAGTACTCTGATACTCTAATACACATGAGTGAGCCATCCCCATTTGAAGATATCTACCTACTGCAGCATCATATAATATATGCCAAATACATCTTTTGTATGTGGCATAAAACGTCATCCTTAGTGAAACACAATATATGACATTTTTTTAAAAACAACACATACCGATGAAAACTGACATAAGGAATAGAATTTTTGGCAGTGTGGTAGACTATAATCCCTGTCTTTGATCATAGGTATCAGCGGTCTATCTCCCGTGTGAAGTGGTATAATAAAGTGAGCAATATTGAGGTAAGGCATCCAGTGAGTGCCAGGTAAGCAGGGTAAATCAATCAACGAGGCTGTGAAATTACATCGATTGCGATCGTTAGGACATGTGTTGCGTATTCCCAGCCTAGTCATCGCCTTCCTTGACGGGCAATGTTAGTTGACATAGTGTCAGGCTGGTAAAGAGCTAGCGGCGGTCAAACTAAAACATAACTTCACCAGTCAATGAAATACACAACAGTTAGTTTAAGCCACGCAGGGAGGTGTAAACTGGTTTTCTGGTTGGGGTCGTCAGGACGGTAAAAACCAATGGCTGGCTGGTGCAGATGCATTCACTCCTTGTGATTTATAATTTCCAATGAAACTATATTGTTCTTCGTTATTACCATTCCTTTGTCTCACACTTCTGTTTATTGTCTCTATTAAGCATTTTCTCTACTTTCTTCTCTTGCTTTGTGTGTTACATAGAGTGGAGTGTGGCGACTTGAACTGGTGCACATCGGTGCAAAGTTCTATGTCAAAAATAGACAGACAGACAGACTATAATTCCACCTGGGAATAATTTTATTTATTTGGTAAAAGATGCCCACACAGTGAGTGATACAATACAGTATTTATTTATAGGATGACGTTTCAAGCACAATTTAGCGCCCCTGCTCATAATCACATGACGGTGCTTTTCTTGTACTTTCTCTTGCTTCGCGTGCTACACGGAGTGTGGCGACTTGAACTTCCGCACATTTGTGCAAAGTTCTATGTCGAAAACAGACAGAGAGACAGACAGACATGACGGTGCTCACACACCTGACAAACTCTGTTTATACAATACCAAAATAGAACACACATATTACCTAAACTCAATAGGAGAATTTAGCTATGTTAGACTGTAAAATAAAGCGAATAGGACAAAGTAAGTTCAACAGTAGAGTTTTAAAAAAGGCCAACGCACTCTGACAAACATTTAGATTTCAAGTCATTTCATCCATTATCTGTGAAGGCAACTATGTGCTTAAACCAACGGAGCAAACAATTTAAGCAGGACATCAGAAAACCTTTAAAAAAATGAGATAAAACAGACAATGGAAGCACGTTGGTACCAAATAAACTATTTCATAAAATTCATTACGATCACAGTAGCTCACAAGAGGAAAAATAACAGTAGAACTAATGATAATCTAAATAAGGAAGAATTCAAGACATCTATATTAGTTTTACCACATAAGGAAGGGAAATCTCAAAATCCTACGTAGGATTCTTTGTAGAGCAAGAATTAAGATGACATTTAAGCTTACAAACCCACTCAAGGACAAGCTCTGTAGGCTAAAGGGCACTACGAATAAAATTAGTCAAAATAGTGTAATCTAAAAATGCCTTACAATGATTGTCAGGTCACACAATAGTGTCAAAGAGCTATATGGTTATAAAAAGTAATATGGGTAAGTGGAGGAAGAAGTTGATCGCTGAATCTTTGTTCATCAAACTTACACCCGACGTGCACAGTGAGAATGACGCAACGCTGACACCAAAGATACGGAAAAGGAGTATTACAACCAGTACGAACACAGGAAAGATGAGAAACAATGGAACTACATAAACAAAGTTTTGAGAGTTATGTGAGTGAGCACCTAAATATGATTATGAGCAATACATTGTGCTCATAACGCCATCAGTACGTAAATAATACCGTTTCAGTATGTGCTTTTATCCAATAAATTTATTCTACCACGGAATGTCTATTAAAAAAAAGTACACCTGTAGTTCCTAACTTTTAGCGAATTAAGACTGGTATAGGTGGGTGAATAAAAAGTTTAAAACAAACGAGCGTCTTTTACTACCCATCACCGTATATTTTTATCATAAATGCACTAATGGAACTGACCCTAACTGAATTCAGAGACTTAGGGAATAGTCTTGTCGACTTAGAATATACAGATGATATAATCCTTCTAGGTGAAGAGGCTGACAAAATGCAGTCATCTGAACACCTTGAGTAACAATCGTCGAATGTCTGGCATGCGATTCGCGATGACGATGTAGTGTGGCAACTCAAACTGCTGCACATCGGTGCAAAGTTCTACACTGGAACCAGTGAGTCAGTCAGTCACGATGATGCCACACGACTGGACTCTAACTACTCCTATAACTAAAAGATGGGGAGTGAAGGGGTGACGCATGTTGATCACTTCACTCATTTTGGAAGTTGCATCAGTGCTAACGGACTGACTGCTGACAAAATCTCAGCACAGATATAAAAGGATGGTTTAGCATTTACTTGCCAACTTTAGTCATTCCTGGCCTAGTTGATGTGATATCTGGCCGGTTAACGACCAAAAGACATATGTACTACGCAGCAGTTCGTTTAGTCTTCCTTTATGGCTGTGAGATATGGCTATAGAATGTGGAAGATATGAGAAGTGTAGCTGTCGCTGTTCACAAGTGTGTCTGTGTCTTATCTCCCATATTGGGTGGTATAATAGTGTGAGTAACACTGAGGTTAGATGGAATGTGGTAGCTAAGGAGGCAAAGTCAGTGACTGAGGTTGTGAATCTACATCGATCAAGACGGCTAGGACATGTGTAACACATGCCTTGCCACCACCTTCCTCCACGGGTAGTGTTAACCGACATAGGATTAAGTTGGAACCTGGCATCAGCCTATGAAATCTTTGACAGCCAGGTTCATCAACGTAAGGAGGAGTAGACTGTCAGGGGTTGATTTACTCGGGATGCTAAGAACCAATTGGCTAAAAAGAAAATTGATGGTATGACTGAAAATCGTTCTAAGTAACCCAGAGGCATTCACTCTCTTTATGATTCCCCATATCTATTAAACCCTAATGTCTCTTCAATGTTACTACTCTTTTTCCATTAATTTTCTGCTTATTATAGTCCTTCTGTGAATCCTTTTCTTTCTCTTTTTTTCTGCCTTTGTGTGCTACATGAAATGTGGCAACTTGAAATGGTGTGCTTTTGTGCTGAGTCCAATAGTGAAGCTCAGTCAGGCAGTCAGCCACTACTGTTCTGTCTTTGTCTGTTTTCGACATAGAACTTTGCACCGATGTGCACCAGTTCAAGTCGCCACATTCCATGTAGCACACAAAACAAGAGAAGAAATACAAAACAGAGACAGTAAACAGAGATATGGGACAAAAAGATTAGTAATAACGAAGAACAATATAGTTTCATTGGGTATTATAAGTCATAAGGAGTGGATGCATCTGCGCAATCCATTGCGAACGCTAATTTTAAGCCATATCACCAATTGTTCCAACCATTGGTTTTTACCATCCCGACGACCCCAACCAGAAAATCAGTTTACACCTCCTGCGTGGCTGGCTGGCTTAGACTAACTGTTGTGGATTTCATTGACTGGTGAAGTCATGTTTTGGTTTGACCACCGCTAGCTCTTTTGCAGCCTGACCCTATGTCAACTAACATTGACCGTCAAGGAAGGCGATGAATAGGCATACGTAACACATGTCCTAACGATCGCAATCGATGTAATTTCACAGCCTCGTTGATTGATTTACCCTCCTTACCTAGTACTCGACCGATGCCTAACCTTAATATTGCTCACTTTATTATACCGCTTCACACAAGAAATGGAGCACAGACACCTATGATCAAAGACAGCTAGCCAGGCTTTTCATGTCTTTCACTCTCAATGACCAGGTCTCACAGTCATAAAAAAGGACGGAGAGGACTGATGAGCAGTACACCCGCCACTACACACATGTACACTGACTAATAAATGATTAATGCCATTTTTATGTTAAAAAGATATATAACCTTAACACTGAATGAATTTCAATACACAACTTTGCACACAAATGCAGCGACTCAACTTATCACACTCAATACAATACACAAAAGTACAGAAAAAAGAAAAACGAAATGCAAATGACCTATTATGAACAAAAGTGTATCAGAGTAAGGGGAGTAACATGGAGAAAAGACATGACAACTTAACGAATTGAAGAGATTACAAAGACGGACAGAATGCATCTGCTCAAATGAGAAAGCTTTCCAGCCACCACCACCACACAACAACAGTCCTCAACCACGGGTGGTTCTTAGCATCCAAAAGACCTCAATCTCCCTAGTTAGCTGGCTCAAACCAACGGGTCGGGTGTGAGGACATTTACTCGCCGAAGACATTGGCTAGCAGTCGCGCTATGTCGTGAATTGGCAGAAGTTAAAATTCAATGACCATTGGATTGGGTCCCAGTGGCTTAATGGTATACGAGCTCACCTTGTAACCGGAAGGTCTTGGGTTCGAACTCTGGTTGTGGGTGCGCACTGCTGAAGAGTCTCAAACTAGGACGAAACAGCTGTCCAGTACTCCCAGGTTTTCCAATGGTTCTCTAACTAATGTCAGCTCATGAAGAAATCCTGAAACCAACGGTCCAAAAGTTTGATCTGGTCTGATCGACCTTATCTCCTTTCCCAACCCAACCATAAATGTCAGTTAACACGGTTCGACACGTTGACGATAGTGCTCAATAAATAAAAGTGTATACAACATTTGCACCACACACATGCACGCACGCACACGTACAGAACCACGAACAAACAAATAAACAAACAAAATTTAAAACCATAATACAAAATCTGTACACAATTCAATTTATTTAAAATAGTAGACAAGAAAACATTTTGTGCATTTTGCTTTTTCTTCAAAAGAGAAATATGACAGAAAAACAAGACAAGATGAGACAAGAAGAAAGAAGAATAAAGGCAAAGGGGGAGTGAAGAAAAGAATAGAACTGACCATAAAAAATCAGGGGTGTTTTTTTGATGCATAAATACCCATTAGAATAAGAAGAAAGGAGAAGAAGAGAGTAAACCCACAGAATATTGGTATATCGGTCAGTTTACAGAAACACAACCTTAAAAAACAAGACAAGTTGACCTCTGCTGCCGCCACCGCCCAGTCTTGCCCCGCGTCTGTTATTGCCAATAAAGAAGGTAGGCACAGGAGAAGGTCGAGTTGTGTGTGTGTAATCACTTCATCCAGTTAGTTACCAAAAACAAAAAGGAAACGAGATGTTGTTGCATATATATTATCCATTGTAAACTGAAAGGCACTGTGTATTAACTAGGTTGGGAATAAATATGTATGGATACATATTTTAGAGAGAGAGAGAGATAGAAGACAGGTGCTTAATCCACATCTTCAAAACACATTTCATCCGGTGATGAATTGACATCATTGATATTATTTAATGCAGCATAACAACTTGACCCTTCATTTAGCATTGAATCGTCTAGTCTATCACCACCATCATTAAACATTTGCATAATTCGTGAGAAAAAATTATTCATTTCATTGGTTGGCGGTTTTACACCAAAATATAACTGGCCAATTTTATCTAAATACTTTACATACGATGAATCTCTATTCAACTGTGGACTGTATTTTTCACACAAGACAGAAAACACTGCTAGACTACACTTTTTTTCAATAGCTAACATAAGAAACCATAGAAAATTAAGTAATGGAAAGTGTGTAAACGGTGGCCCCGGCTCTAATCGAGGATGTCCTCTTGTATAGGTATAAAATGTAATTATAGCCACAGTGGTCTGTTTCATGCAAAGAAATTGGAGAACAGCTTGTGCAATGAACAAATCAATCTCTGATCGTAATCCATAGCGTTGGTGTAAGGCGACAAGAAAACTACCAGCTGCATAACCATTCGATGATAGCATAATGCGTAGTCTTGCCTCACTAAATGATCCTTCTTGCCATAATACACGAGCTAAATAACCATTGAAACTAGCCAAGAGATCTTTTTGTTTTTGAAGTAATTGTAGTGCTTTACTGATAAATCGCATTCTTTCTTCACCAGGTGTCATACGGATTAATAGTTCACACACTTCAGCCAAATGTGATTCAGTTAACAGTGATCCACTTTGACTGTATACATCTAGGACAAGACAGGCTAATTCTGTCCCACTTTCCCATTGTTCATTATCAGTAGAAATTCAGAACCAGATTTAAGATATTTTAGTGCTTCTTGATAGTTTTTTCGCATAATACAACGAAAGTGTATTGTTTTGTATAGTTGATGAGCTTCATAAAAACGTCGTCCACTGATAGCAGCATGTAGCCGATGGTCTAATTTCGATAACTTGGGTTCAGCAGTAGACGACATCTTTTGAACCAATAAAATAAAACTGAATACTATAGTTATACCTGTTTATGAAAGAATATCAAAGAAAAACATTTAATTAGATTATGCAAAAGCATAAAAACTAAAAAAAAGCAACCAAATTTAGTAAAGTCACTTGAACAGTCCACACCATTACATGTGCATCGGTGGGGCACAGTGGTTAGGACTCTCGCCGACCATGTACATGGTCCAAGGTTCGATCCCGTGCTGACACACATTTGATATCTATGGTCGGCTTGCAAAATTTGGGCTGCCGATATCCATGCTGAAAATTCCATACTTGTACCGAAAATACAGTGTGGAATCAAGCTGTAATCAAAAAAAAGTAGCCATCTGTAGTTGAAAAGCTTCCAATTTACATGGTAGTTCTTCAGATAGAAAAACAGCTATGGATAGAAAACCCCAAACTTTGCAGATTTAAGCAACTGCATCCCATTCACATTGAAGAGGACAGATTACTTATTGGTAATCAATTTCGAAAGATGAATTTACCGAGTGTAATGCACATTCGATCTTAAATTACTACTACTAAGTTGGTACTTATTACAACACTCAATAACCAAAACGAAAGAGCTCTGTTTTATTTACATACTATAATCAAATAACTTAGTTTACTTGAGGAATTTGATATAATTCTCATCGCCAACAAAACAATATGAACTGAACTTTGTACACAAATTAGGCAGCTTATGCTGTTACAGTGCAAAAAATGACACATTAAAGGGGAAGAAACTCATTGAAACTAAAGTAAACAGAAATTTACGGGAGACAGAATAATCATGTAGTCTTCACACACAAACGTTTGTTCTAGCTTTGTCTCTCTATTGGCCTAAGTAAATCTAATGAACGAATTAAAACTGCCCACCTTCGCTTCTACACTTCTATGATCTTTACTTAAATTTTATCTAGCCACCCATCCTAGGTATTATGTAACTTGTAATTTTGTAAGGCTTTGACCTAATTATTGAATTCTTTACATTGGTATTAGGTGGTTGGAGTGATTGGTCACAGGAAGCCACAGGAAGACGTTACCATTGAGCTATTCAGCCTCGCGATTGATCTCCTGTAGGACTGTACTGGATATTTTTTGATCGGACACTAGTCAGGAACTAGTTACTAACACTAGTTGTCGTCACCTACGTCAACCGCTTGTAATTTTGCTATCACTGACCTTATCATTATTATGACTATTATAAGTTTCGTTGCTGCTGACAACATTTAACGCCATTTTCTAATCCACAAATTCACCGTCACTGGTTAGAAATTCTTAAGTATGAAGTTACGTGCCTTACAGGAAAGCCTGACAGCTAAGTGAAAACAATATTACACGCTTGTATGTCATGTTTTAACATTGAGACTAGTGAGGATATCTAGGATCTGCAAAATCACAAGGAGTGAATACATCTGTGGCATTTACGGCGATCTGGATCTATGTCACCAACACTTAAGAACCATAAATTCTAAACATTCTGACAACCTACATTTAACGTGGCTCTAAGACTTTATGAATTAGTATTAGGTTTTTCTTTGACTAACACTAACCCTATCAAATCTAATCCTAAAATATCTCGTTAAAGATAATAAGTCGATATACGTGATAAATGTCTTAACCATCTTGACCTGTGCAGCATTACAACATATTGGATTCATTTTTTCGCTTCACCTCAACAATAAACCTTATCTAATTATTACTGCCCACATTGTATCAGCTAATACAAGAAAGTGAATGCAGAAACCTATGGTTAAAAGCAATCAATTTCTTAAAGTCTTCCATTTTCAACAGTTATCTCGCCGCTGTAGAGCAGAACGGGAGACTCTGTTGCAGAATACAGACCCCCTTCGATGCGCAGACGGATTTTAAGTCGGTGACAAAATGAAGCAAGTTCGCAAACGTCAAACAGATATTTCGTATCCGTGCTGGTTGTTATTTATTAGTCCCTTGGGTTCTGAATGAAAGATAGGGCTTCAACAGCACACCTTTGCTTTGTCTTATTCTGTGTGGTTCTCGTTAGCAGGCCCCACCATCGGTTGACACAACCCCTTCGTCACCGAATTAGTGGAGTTTTACCTACTATTCACCTATCGGATTGAAGTCTAGTGACTCATGACTCCTAAATCTCGTCAGTTTGCAGCGTGACATCACTACCATCCTATGACATTGATGAATACGAGTCACCACAAAGTAAAACATTACGGGTCATTTCTCCACATGAAATCTTTGGGAAATTCATTTCAAGACTAGTTATCAGTGGTGGCTTAAGCACCTTTTGTGAGAGTCAAACACAATTCATCAGGAAATCAACGTTGTCCGTAAATTAAATACGAAAAATCAGTTACAAATCTACTTACACCACAAACAACAACAAGAAGAGTTAAGTACTTAGTATATTTCACCTTAATTCCCATCAATCACTGTTTTTCTTACAGAACAAAGTACTTCGTATCAATAACCTTGAAAAACCAGGTCTAAATTCCATTCAACACTTTGTGTAATGGCAGTGATAAAGTTAAAATGTTACTGACTTTCCGTATATGGCGGTAACCGACAGGTGTTTTATTAGATTGACGAATAGTCGCCAGAGAAGTATGAACATCAAATAAAGCTACGTGTTTTCGGATCTTTTAATTACTTCTTAAATGAAACCAGATGTATCATCCCTTTAAGCAAGTGACCAATGATCGAGATTCATGCTACTACATCTTGGTGTGGAGTTATATTGCGTGTATGGTAACCGCTGTTATTTAGTATAGTTCCAGGCATATTGGTGGATAAAACTGTGGGAAATTCAATAAATAGTAATTCACTGAATCTCACTTTAACGATAGTGAATGTACATTGAGCACTATCAATTACATCATAAGGCGATCATGACGTGTCATGCACGTCAAAACATAGTATAAACTTAACTGGAACTAATTTAGAAAAGAGTTGGAGGCGGTCAGTTTCAGTCATATAACAGTTATGAAATCACTGATTAATGGTCTGAGACATTTAGTGAAATATAACTACCTACATAAGTTGTCCGGTCAATGTCATAAGGATGCTAAGAATACGATGTTATGGACCATGGTTCCGTTAAATTCTTTTCTCCAATTTCTTTTAGGATTGACTTTCTGGACACTTAGTGTATAGTTTTACATTGTTAAGCAAGGGATGACGAAAAACCAGACTAATTTGGTAAATCATTTATGCTAGCTAGTGTTATTACGGCTACCTCGTATTTCAGCTTAAATTCTCAGTCTATGATAGCAAAGCTGGATTTAAAGCAATATAATAAACTGTTTGTATAACTGCGAAATAAACAGAAAACATAGGGTACCTCAAAAAATAATTAATCCCAATATAAGCGCGTTTGCCGAGTTGAAAACCCGGGTGTTTTATATGGCTACATTAAGTAACTGAAAGTATGAGGTTAACCGAATGCAATGGGAAAACTTATAGAAATCAACTAAACTGTAATTGTGTATATAAATTTTTATTCAGGATCTGTCATCGATATTATTACAATGCCAAACTTAATTTTTAGGCCCTGAAGTCAAGCCCTGGAGGTTTTGTCCTCATTTCTCAGTAGTATTTCTGTAGAGAATGAAGGTCACTTTGATTTCCCAGTCCTAGTTCTGAGGAAGTGGATGTTACTTTTCTACATGGGTTGTAAACCGTACACTGAATTGTTAGGAATCTTGGTCATCGAGGTGTATCAACCTTTGACCTTCTAGTCTAAACAAAGTTCTGTATCCTTCACCACACTACTCTTTATGGTGGAGGCTATGGATGGTGCCTTATGCAGGACGGCTGAAAAGATCAAATTCCTTCATATCTTTAAGCTATGGAGCATATGTAAAGTATGCGATATCAAGATATACTAAGACATCGACAACTAAAGTATTTCTCCACAGCACAAGTAATTTTATTTCTCAGACAGAAACAAGCCATTTCGCAGGAGAGGACGAGGGGTCCGGTAACTCTCCCTGCTGTATTGTATGGACAGCAAGGGGACAGCAGTCTATCGATCTAAATGAACCTCATATATTCAGTTCGTGACAATGATTTTTTCCTACATCTTTTAGAGTCGCCGTTTACTTCGACGTGATTTAGATATAAGGCTTTTCTACTGGTCCAACAGAGTCCTCCTTTGAAATTCCAGATGGACCAACTAGTAACACACTACGTCCTGCTTTTATTACACAACCAGTTAATGGTTTATTAAAATGGCCACTGATGATTCTTCAATCGTAATTTGGCGAATATAAGATGAGAATTACGTTGCTAGTGATAATCATAACACCTAGAAGAAGTTGACATCGCGTGACCGGATTCATAAGTATTTCCTATGTAAAGTGAGATGATGGTATTTATCTTACAACTTCTTGTCAAGTGAATCTTAGCTTCTGAAGTAACCAAGTGTTTCTCGGCGGTCTACGTGAACCGTCAGCCTACAGGAATATTATTAATGGGGTATTTGTTAAGTGCCTCCACCTTCGAATGTCTCCAACAGAGTGACCTTCATCACATTAATTATCTGGAACTTCATTTATCCTACGTACTACAACTACGACAGATTTGTTTACATTCGTGGGTTGAAAACTATTTTCCTTTCCTCAGAAATCATTGCTTATATGACTACTTAAAGATATCTCCACAGAGGTCCGAGAAAGTCTGTAGAAACAACTTATCGAGAATTC